GAATCTTTTAATCTTAGATCTGGTACAAGACAAGAGTGTCCTTTATAACCAATTCTATTCAACGTAGTTCTGGAATTATTAGCTAGAGCCACTACACAAGAGACAGAAATAAAAGGAAAAACAATAGGTAAAGAAGAAGTTAAATTATCATTATTAGCAGATGACATGATACTTTACTTGCAAGACCCAAAAAACTCCACCAAGAAGCTATTAGAATTAATACAGAAATTCAGTAGCACAGCAGGATACAAAGTCAATACTCAAAACTCAATAGCATTCCTCTACACTGAAAGCAAACACATTGAGAATGAATTTAAAGAAACAATACCTTTTACAATACCACTTAGGAAAACGAAATACCTTGGAATTAATCTAACTAAAGAAGTCAAAGATCTTTTCAAGGAACATTACAGTACTCTTTTAAAAAGAGATTGTAGAGGATTTCAGAAAATGGAAAGATAGTCCATGCTCCTGGAAAAGAAGAACCAACATAATGAAGATGGCCACACTCCCAAAATTCTTGTACAAATTTATTACAATCTCTATCAAACTACCATCAACATACTGAAATGACCTAGAATAGCAAAGAGAATCCTGGACAATAAACACAAGGCAGGAGGCATTACAATTCCTGACTTGAAATTATACTACAAGGCTACTGTGATAAAATCAGCATGGTACTTGTAACAAAATAAACCAGAGGATCAATGGACTAGATTAGCAGATGCAAAAGAACCTACGAACTCAATCACCCACCTTATCTTTGACAAAGGGCTGAAACATACTCACTGGAGGAAAGATAGCCCTTTTAACAAATGGTGCTGGAAAAACTGGCTCTCCACATGTCGAAAACTAAAACTTGACCCAGGTCCTTCACCATGCACTAAGTTAAAATCAAAATGGATTAAAGATCTAAGCTTTAAAAGAGAGAGAGTAAATCTGGAAGAGAAAGTAGGAGGAACTCTTGAAGACATAGGGGTAGGCAAAGAGTTCATGAACAGAAATCAAATCGCATGGGAAATAGTTGAAAGAATTAACAATTGAGACTTTCTCTTATTGAGAAGGTTTTGCACATCAAAAGAAATTACCAAAAAAGTGAAAAGACAACCCACAAATTTGGAAAAAATCATGAAAAATAAGTACTCAGACTAAGGTCTGCTCTCTAGAATTTATAAAGAACTAAAAAACACTAGGGCCACAAAATTTAAAGACCCAGTCTGGAAATGGGCATCCGAGATGAACGCTCACTTCTCAGAAGATGAAATTAAAGAAGCGAATAAATATATAAAAAAAATGCTCCACATCACTAGCCATGCATGAAATGCAAATTAAAACAACAATGAGATATCATCTCACCCCAGAAAGAATGGCTATCATAAATAAATCAACCAACAACAAATGTTGGAGAGGCTGTGGGGGAAAAAGGAACCCTTCTCCACTGCTGGTGGGAGTGTAGACTGGTGCAACCATTATGGAAATCAGTGTGGAGACTTCTTAGAACATTTGGACTGGAAATCCTATTTAATTCCACTATTCCTCTACTGGGAATTTTCCCAGAGGATCTGGAAACATCATATCATAGTGATATATGTGTGCTTATGTTTATAGCAGCACAGTTTGTGATAGTCCAATCTTGGAATCAACCAAACTTCCCATCACCTGAGGAATGGAAGAAAATAATGTGGTACTTTTATACAAAGGAGTATTACTCAGCTCTAAAGAATGATAAACTCAAGGCCTTTATATTGAAGTGGATGCCACTTGAACATATAATCATAACTGAAATAAACCAGACACACATGTGTAAATATCATATAGTTGCCCTAGTATAAGAATGCAAAAGAAGAAACACAAATAGAAAGGTGTAATACAACTAAAAGGAAAGCAAAAACTTGAGGACTAGACAACGAAAAGAGAGCAAGGAGATGAGCTAGGAAACATGATAATGTCAAGCCATACAGTTATATGTAGAAGATGGGTAAGGCAATGATAGTGAGAATCTTCAGAAGATTTTTGATTCTTGCAGTTAAATGAAAAGATTCTCACCCTGACTAACTATATATACAGACATGTGTGAACTAAGTAACTCACTGCAGATGGCAATTTGTAATAGTAGGTTCTTGCTTGGAGTGCCTGTCATTCTGGTCTTCTGAATACAAGCTGCTTGTCATGACATGCCAGTCACTGCCATGCTGTCTCTCAGGTAGATGATTGTTGAAATTGTAGGGGTGGTGAATGAAGGCAGGAGACAGGAAAAGAAATGTTGCAGGACTGTCTTGCTACAGGGTTGTATATGGTTAGATTTCTGGACTTATGTGTAAACATAAGAATTAAGCAATTCCTTAGGACTGTTTTTTAAAATATATTCTAATTTTTAAATGTTTTTCATCATATTCTATAGGGACTTAAAGTTCAACATATCAATACTTGATGAAAAATACCTGTTCCATGTTATGCCTAAAATGTTTGATATTCAGGTAGATAGTGAGGTTAAGCTTAACAGCCTAGGTTGTATGGCAATAACAATAAGCTTCTCTTCTGGAGGATTAACATCCTAAGTTTGCAGACAACAATTAGAGAAAAAGGAGGGCTGTTAGGAAAGCCAACACTTTGGCCCTAGCCTTTCATGTTCAATTAAGGCTCAGGACACATGAGATCTTGTACTGTAATATCATGTAACTCAGTAGTGTCCCAAATTTTCTGATCAAGGAGATTACGGTGCCAAAGAGGAAAGTGATCGATGATGTAGAGTGTGCCAAAGGAGAGTCACCTGGAGAGAAAACATTCTCTCAGGCTTTCCCGGGGAGCACACTGGCCAAGCAATGGCCATGACTCATCCACATGGCTGGCACTGACAGAGGACCTACAGTCTGAGGTACAGGATCTCAGGATAAGTTCTGAGGGGATTTGACTGACCCTATCAGATCTAAAAGCTACAACTCTTATTGCATAGTTCTTGTTTTATCTTGGTCTTAGCCATCCAGCAGAAAAGTATAAAATTGAAGTATAAGAAGTAAAGCCATGTTGTTATGTTGAGCTGTAGGGGACTTTAGAATATTTTGCTGAGTTAGCACACTTATAATATTCAAATGACCAAACTAAATAAAAAAGAGGATACCTAAATGAATGTCTATTTTGTATCTCTGTATTCAAAATGGTTAGGATAGATATATAGTTACATTCTCTTAATGAATAGAGTGATTTGTTGTAATAATGTTTGTAAACAGGATATCATATCTGCATCTTGTACAGCAAATAACCACTAAGAAGAATGTATGCAATGTGTTAATTATTGAAACTGTCCTACCAATTTGGTTTCAAACTGTCTCATTGCTATTTGTTTCTTAATAAAATTATGGGAAAAAATAACTAACAATTCAAGAAAGAATCTTAAAATATGAAAAAATAAACTTCAAGTATGACTAAAAACCTAAGTAAATAAAATAAATAATAAATAAAAAGTTGTCCTGGAGGGCTGGGGAGATGACTCAGTGGAATAACTGCTTCCATGGCAAGTGCAAGGGCCTGAGTTCAATGTCCTCTGCCAATAAAATAAAATAAAATAAAAAATAAAGTTGTCCTTGAATGATATAATGAAAGCAATTTATAAAGACAGTGGCAAGAGCTTTAAGGAAGGTGTATGGTGAGATGAGAATATTCTGGACTGAGGATACATGATGGTCCTGTGTGTACCCTTGCCCCAGTAAAGTTAAAAAAAATTTTTTTTAAAGATCCAAACAAGGCTCAAATTGGGACTCCAGAAACTTACTCTGGGCATTCATGAGGCACAACTGAGTTCAATGTCAATTAGAACATCCTGTTTCCAGGTCACTCACAGGATGGTAATTTGTTTTGTGGAAAAGCCCAAAATAGACAAAATCCAGGGTGACCCTGAGATACAAAGAGATTATTCTTTTTAGAATTAATAATTTTCCCCTTTTCTGTTTTAATTCCAGAATACAAAGAAACTGGGGGGAGAAAAGTGAAATTGTATTCCTGATTTGTTGGGTACCAATACTTCATATGCTCACCACACAGGACTGAAGGTGAAGAGGTGTGAAAAGCCAGCCAGAGAACTGGGTCCACACTCAGCATTACAGCTCTGTAGAACCAATGTGCCCATATACATGGAGCAAATTCATGCCCTCAGGCCAGTACTTCTTACTGTTTTTTAGTAACTCTGGTGAAAAGATTTAGTGAAGCAGCAAATGGAACTTGTTTGCTAAAATTAGATTTAAAACATCTCCATATCTCAGCTCTCCTGCTCCTGCCCATTAGGATCATGCCCATAGCGCTTTTATGCATGCTGGTAGAGGAAATCCAGGAAACCTGCAAACTCTAAGCACAGATGTCTGCCCTCTCTGGTGAAGCAAATCAATGAAGCCAAAAAAACTGACACTGATGCTCTGTGTTTAACAAAAATAGAGCTTGATGTGAAATTTCATTTTCTCCAGAACACTAGGACTTAGCACACCATCCCATCCTCCATTGAGAAACAGTGAATGAATGTCCAGGTACTGTGTGCATCTTTGCCAGAATAAAGTTTAAAAAACAGTTTTAAAAAAGATCCAGACAAGGCTCAAATTGGCACTTCAAACACTTACTCTGGGAATGCACGAGGCACAACTGAGTTCAATGTCAATTAGAACATCCTATTTCTGTGTCACTCACAGGGTAGTAATTTGCTTTTGGAAAAGCCCAAAAATCAGAAGAAAGGAAATTATTTCTTAAAAGATGAAGGTCCCAGTGACATTAAAGAAGTTAGATATGTCTGGAGCTAGTTCCTTAGGAAGGAATCTCAGAAAAGAGAAGTGAAGGGAGATTGTCATTGGAGGAATTTCTAAGAGGAAGTGGAGGATTCTTAGCCCTGAGGCTTTTGAATTAAAAGGGGGCATCACAGCAGAACAAATGCCACGCATCCCATTCTGATCACCTCTTGGGTAACATCATCTGCCTAAGATTGTTGAGTGTTTTGCTCCACTAAACACATCTCAAATTAGTTCCCCTTGCAGGAATGGCATGCCTCAAGCCACTTGTGCCAGAAGTGCTGACAGTCTCCCCATTTCTGAGAGTATACAAAATTGCTGAATCCATTGAACTGGCTTCTTGGAGGCTGCAAGGTTGCCAGGCCATCCAGGCACCCATGCATGGGGAATTTCTTGACACACTCTGTCAGACTCTCTCACCTGTAAAAAAGGTGAGTGACAGCTCAGGATTTAGGATTATACTAGGCTTGGGCTTCCTGGTGGGTACCATCTAACAGGATGTTGTTTCTTAGCTGCAATTAAGAGAGTGAAGGAAGAAGAATCCAGGGAAAACTCAGGTTGTAGTTGTTCCATGAAGATAACTACATTAGACAGCAAATAAGGAGTTATTGATCACAAGGATCAATAATCAAATTGTAGAGGGTGACTTCAGTGTTCTTTTCCAGTATAAAACTCTAATATTTAGGAATACATTTCACTTTTAATAAGATCAGAACTGAGAGATAATTGAAATTTTTGGTTCAAAGTGAAAGTCATAACTTGTAGTAGACATGATGAGGCATTTGATTATTACCCAGAGCGGAAAATTGCAGCTGTTCTCTGAATAAAACAAGCCAAACTAATCACCTGTGTTTCTTTGTTGCATCACTCTTAAACAAGAGTTTTTGGTGATTTAGTGGGGAACTAATACCCTGTCCTTCAAACTCTGAAGTCAGTGACCTGTGAAAGGCTATGCTCAGTAATTGCTTTAAAACTCCAAGCTAGAAAAGATTTTGAAAGTTTCCATTACAAGTAAATGATAATTCTCAGACCAAAAAGCTACAACTCTTGTTGCATAGGTCCTGCTTTACCTTGCTCTTAACCATCCAGTAGAAAAGTGTGAAGACGAAATGTAGGAAGTAAAGCCATGCTGTTATGTTGAGCTGTGGGGGACTCAAGTCAATAATTTCTGACATTGCCAGTTAAACAGAGGACCCAATGCTATTATGGGCTACTGGACTCTTTTAGAATATTTTGCTGAGTTTACACACCTATAATATTCAATAACGGAACTTAGAAAAAATGGGGTA